ATAGGTTTCCCGATATAAATTTTCATATCAAAACTTTGTGCATATATTAGGTGTCTATACATACTAAATTTGGTCGATTCAGCTATATGACTCCTTATTTCTTGTACACAACAATCAAAAAATCTTTGTTTAATAATATCCAAAGCATTTTTTACATTTAGTGTCACCTGGGTGTCCCAGTTATAACCCAGTCCCATAGTATACAGTTCATTTTTAATATCTCTCAACCAGTTATATTTATCACCAACAATTAACCTTTCCATAAGATCATTATATATTTCAGTCATAATACAATTCTGACTATGTACTAATTTCAACCAAAATTTGAACACTCTCAGCTTTCTTATTGTAATCAGAGGATATACTCCTAATTCCTCATAGATCATGTTATTAGCTGTACTTCACTTCACCCCTAACACTTGCTTTAAAAAATGCATTTGTACTTTTTCAATATCCTTGGCACAATAAAATCCCCAGATCTCGCTTGCATAATTGAGAATTGGGCTCACATAAGTTCTGAAGTATAGATAATTTCTATTTTGGGGCAGCACTTTATACAACTATCGATTACCCGGGTTAAATTTAATTTAAACTTTATTTTATTTCACAATAACATTTCATAACGTACGTTGTATGAAACAGGGATTCAGAAAAAAGTTTGAAACTTTTGTTAATATGTCTCCTTTAAAAATTACACAAGCAGGCAGCGACTGAACAGATCGTGAAAAAGGGAAAGAAGAAAAGAAATAAGAGAAAAAGAAAGACACAAAGTGAGTAGGTTGAGGAAGACAGGAAAGAGCAGATGTATATACATTATGTTAAATAAATCATACACTATGTCAAGGGATATATTTCGTTTCCTAATGACACACTGGTCAAATTGTAGTGTTTTAACGGAGCAAAAATATGAAGATTATCGTTATTTAAAACACTATGTTTAGTGGGCGATTAGACGAGGTTTATCGTTATTTTACTACGAAACAAAGAAATCCCACGTTTTAGCCCCATACATGTATATGTGATCTATACATATTCATTCTGATATTTGTTTTATTATTATCTATATAAATAGTATATCAGTGTGTTCATTGTTCACAAATATCACATTTAAGACAGTTGTGTCTCATTGAAAATTTTGTTAAAACTGAAAACTGCTGTGACAAACACTCCTAATCGAACAGGTTTCCGTCTCCATAACGACGCCCACATACCATTAGATCACTGCACAGCTTCACATCTTCGATAAATGACTAGTCTGTCAGTTGTTCATATCCAAATTTCATCTAAGGGAGGTCTTGAATCAAGTCCATTTTCGATTGTTTGTCGCAAGAATAGCACTTCAGTGCTAATGTTTATTGTTTTATATGCGACGTTAAATAATAATTCTTGTATCTTGTTAATTCGAGGCTATACATGTAAAACATCGTTTTTATTTGCACCAACGATTTCAATATATAATCTTAAAATCGAGTCCATATTTAACATCGGTAATATAGAGTAATACCTATTTCTTTCTTAAGTACAGGCCTGCAAAGTGGTGTGTGCATATATGTCATGTCGAGTATTGAAATGAAACTCACTGTAGAAAAGAAAAATTCTTCTTTTATGCCTATTATTTTGTTTTCCTTTTATTTTATAAATTTGAATCTTATCCATAATATATATAAATTCGAGTTGTTAATTTTAATTGGCATAGTAGTGTATTCTATCGCCAACTGTAGTTCTTTACGATTATAATAATAAAAAAGGAAAGTGAAGTATAGGTTGGAGGTTAATTAATACCTCCCTGTAGCATATTATCATCATAACTACATAGATAATTGAAAAATAATTATGAACACCTAGTTACAAATAATACAATAATTGTGTCACGTCTCTAAAAACTTTTTTACTGTAGTTGCCAGGGGTGAATTTGAATTTAAAACTTTCTCGCCTTACGTATAGATTCTCTTAAATTGTTGAGCCGGGGGTGTATATGGACACCTCACACTTGTTTTGATGATAATGGATTACTTAATTAATTAATCACCGAAGTTAATAATTGATTATATAGAAACCAACAATTTCTTTAATAGAAAACCCTTAGGAAATACATGCACACACACACGCCCAGTTGCACAAAGACTGTTTTAAATGTTTGCGGGTTATTATGATATAAATTGTATTTCTGTTAACATTTGAACTTTAATCGTTAACATCTTCAAGCTCTACATTCAGTATATATAGACAATATGTAGTTTCAAATAGAAAAAAAAATCAAAAAAAAAATCACATCGCCTTCATATTCTCCAGTATTTTTAATGTAAAACAAAGTTCATACATTAGAATAATATGTATGAACCGAGAAAAAATAGATAAATAAAAACAGACAGAGAAATAAAAATAAATAAATAAAAATGACAACTTAATTTTAAACGGTTTTAAATATCTTTCTATTGAATGAAACTATTTTGAAATTCCGTGTCATGTTTTCAATTTTACAGGCATTGTGAATTCTCAAATAAAACTGAATAAAAAATCAGGAAGAAAAAAACAACTAATTGATAAATCATACAAAGAGCTGTGGTTGACACTACAACAGTATGTAAATGAAGTCAGTAGGAAGTAAATTAGGTGTACCCGGGAGGCCTCGGGCCTTATTACCCTCATCTAGTTGACAAGTCACACTTGGGTCGATGATAATGGATTAATTAATCACGGATACCGAGCCGGGACAATGTTTCCGGCGTACAGGCATCATGTTTTCTCACCTCGGGTGTGAAAACAGTGGTATTTTGTCACACGGTGGTCAGGAAATGACGGGTTTAATTTATACACGGATAACCCAAGTGTTCAAATACATATTTAACACATAATATAACTTTATCTTTCAAATAGTTATACGCGAGGGAATTATTGAAATAAATCACCAGCTTCATTTCAAATACCCAACAAATGTCCATGTATAGGTCAAAAACACACGTCCATATATGGGCAAGGAAGTGATTATTTAACTATATATTTCAAATACTACTTATGTCCTATTATGTTTCTATTTTGTATGTAATTGGAAATGTTTTGCGTTTTTTTCTTTGTCTTGAGAAAGGAGCGGATTGCTCCTAAACTTTGACAACCCTATATTGACTGTTGGAATCACTTCCTTGCCATATATACCATTTTTTAAGTAATTCGTATCCTACAAACATTATACGTTAGATAGGATCCAGTGTTATTTGGGAGGTAACCGTTGCTATGACTTCTTTGACCCGTGTGAATATATATATAAAACCACGGAATTAGATTAGTTATCTAAGTCCGTGATAAAACACGCCCGTATACTTGTGAACGAGGAGAGAAACATGTCTGTTTTAATGATAATTATGTTCAGCACTCATAAATATCAGGACCGGAGAACAAACTTAAAACTATAGCAACCTCGTTTACTGACAAATAAACCCCATACATCTTCGACATAACAGGGGGTACGCTCACTTATGTGCTATGAAGTGAACATACGTGAGCGCCGTCATGGGATTTCGAATATGGACCGTCTATAGCAGCGTATAGTAAATATAACTTGTTCGTGCAGGACAATCCGATAAACGGTAACATACAATAGGCAAGGACTGATATAGGCGTTGTCTGTTATCCTATCCTCGGTACTTCTCAATAAAATGTATTGAAATGAAATACATTAGGGTGATAATTGTTTTATTATTTATAACAGAACAGTAATAAATAGTCTGCTGTTAGTATATGTTACCATGTGATATAGACAATGTTACATAGATCTATCAACGCAAAGCGATATCAGGTGTTTGGTGCTGAACATTTACACGTTATGTTAAAACGTCAATGTTACAACGATGACTATCTATAGCTAAGAACATACCTTAACTGGATACAATATTTCTTTTTCAATTTTATTATCAATTCAGCGACTGTCTAATTTCTAATTACCGCCAATCTCTGTCCTTTTTACCGATTCTTAAAAATTGTTTGGAAAAGCATCTAAAACATGGCTTTTGTTATTTTTAATTGTCTCTTTTGTTATTTGATCAAAAATATAAATCAGTTATAAAAAAAACACCGTCTAATTATTAAAGTTGAAAACCATTTAAAACATAAATGTATAAAATAAATATAAAAAATAAATAGATATATAAATGCATAACGATAACGAAAAGTTTTAGCTTAGTTTTCACAATATACCGTCAGTTTACATCAAATAATCTCACAAACGATGATATTTTGTGTAATCCACGTCGTCGGGACAAGTCAATCCATGTCTTACGTATAGCAAGAATCTCGATATGTTTCTTATCAGTAGCAGAATTAATACAGTAGCTTCTGGGACAAATCCGTGATAAAGCGATCACGTACCGTCCCAGCCCCGTAAAACCATTATCATGTTCTAGTAGGAATTATGTGCTCAAACCAACTTTCTTGCATATGTAACTGGCTGAAATATCATTGGAAACAGTCACAAGAGAAGTCTATACATTGGATTAGTATTTGAAGTCTTTCCTACATTCATACAAATCATTGTGAAAGTGTTAAGTTTTAATCATTTATCACTAGTAAAAGATAGTGAATTTGAGTTTTAACCTGAGAACGGGTTTATGAATGCAAGCCTCGACATTTTAGAATGAAAAAGACACAGAGACACGCTGGGGCGAACAAACAAACTCTTTTGTAGAAAATACATGTTCTTAAAAATTCCAAGGCTATTTGAACTGTTAAATACTTGCAATGGTATCGTAAATTTGGCGAAGAAAACCAAATTAGCGGTTCACCATAGGCGGTTACATTATCCACCCCCGATAATTGATTATCACCTAATGTGGCTGTGAAAGGCGAAGCAATTTGGCTGGTCACGCCCCTCAAACCGCTTCTAAGCCAATCAATAGCGGTTCTCTATTTAATTAGCCGAGTCACATGACCCGCGGCATCACCCGGTACAATCGTATAAATGCCATGTAACGTCTTGGTCTAATCACATTATCTATCTTTAAGACATTTTGGAAGAATCAGATCGGTGTCCCGTCTTAAGGAGAACCACACTTAGTGGGTGTATCGTTTACAGGGAGATCTCAGGTGCTACAGTGCTGAACACAGTACCGAAGTTTCACGGTGACAGCATTTGTGATGATTTTATATATCTGACATATTTATGCTGACAATTTTCATTGTGTATGCTAATAGACCGTGATTTGATGATGATAATTGTATCTTTTTAACTTCACTTCATAACAAACAAAATCGTCATTATTTGATAAGAACTAAAGGCTGAACAGGACAGATAAGGAAACTATTCCAATATGAACGCCACTGCCTACTCTCCCTACCAGTTCTCACACGGGTTCTGGCCGTTCTCCACGTGTAATGTCAAGCCACTGGAGCTTCCCATCCATCCTGCATTCATACACAGTCCTTATCCGAATTTTAATGCGCAGTGTGGAAACTCCGGCACGACGTCGGGCACAGTAATCCGGAATAAATCCGACTCATTTACAATTGACGCCATCCTGAGTCGGGATAGAGTGGATGAGGTCCAGCACTCTCCGGACGGAAACCCCGGACAATACTCGCCAGTAAATCGTCATGGAAATAAAGAAAGTTCATCAGTGTCTCGAAGACATGCGCGACTCCATGAAAATTCTCATCCCTATAGGTCACCAAGCGACAGAAACGTAGCAACACCGACCTCACACCCGGTCAGGAAACAGCTTGACAACAGTCCAGTGAAAGGTAAGAGTTTGTATTAAGTTATATATAGACTAGACGTAACAGTTTTACTGTCCTTTTCTTTAGATTTTACACCGGAAATCATGAATGAAGTGCCTGAAACTTTCCTCAACATAAGATTTTTCTTTGATTAAACGTTCTTGAAACTGGTACCAGTAGCTTATCAACTTAGTCCAACCAGCATCTTGTTGTTATTAAAAATCTGTACGACGGCACTCTATTTAAAATATAATAGGTTGAGTGCAACTTTTACAATATTTATTTACCATGACAATGAGAGTATAGTTTAAACAACTTGAAAAATGGTATCTTAAGATAAAATAAGTAATTATATACAAGTTTACGTGCAGGGAAACAATGTATAACAATCCATTTATGACAGTTCACCACAGATTCCTAATAAATCAAAAAAAACAACTAAAAGGAATATTACACAATATTTATTGCTTTATAAAACTTATCATGTAGGTATAGTGTATTTCCAATCGGATTAAAATGGACGTCTAATCAGGTGTTAAGTACGACAGTAAACTCCTCGTGCGATTTTAAAGTGTTATGTATTTGCTCAATACAGCGAAACTACTTAAAACTTTTGCACATTTCGTTGTAAATATTAATTATTCAGACTCGTAAACATCCTGATATTTGATGAAAGGAGATATCTGACATTGTACTGGTGTGCCCATCTCAAAATTCTGAACGTCATTTTATAATCAGCGATAAGGCTATGGAAAGGGAAGTGGCTCAATGTCAGCAGGTATGGAGTTTTTTTTAGCTTACACTGGTGCTTGCAAAAAGCACACCCTTGCTAAACAAGTCTTACTGTACAATGAATATTTTTACCAAAACAAAAAACTCTAACGGATAGAAACACTTAACTAAATAATGTCTTCTTCAGGCTAAAATAAAAACAACTTAATACAGATAACCTGTGTCGTGTGTAGGACTTGTTTGTTAATTTTTATTTTAGATTGAATTTCTTCATCGAAGTTCTTCTTTTATCATCAATAGTCCTTAAATGTCTCGAATAATAAAAATAATTTGACTTGTTTGTATCGTCATTAAGTCTGATATTTCAATATTTGCTTGCGGGCGATAAGTCAAAATATAGTTCTCCTAAGTCATAGTGACAGAGAACTGCCACACGACACCAAGAACGTTACCTGAATCTTGACGTGATATTAACTCGTTTTAAGGTTCAATAACCCCCTGAAAGATGCTAAAGTCACCCAAAATGCCAACCTCTTTATAAATCATATTTAAATACACTAATTAAAACCGAGAGTTCAGATAATTGGAATATCTTTAGCCTGTACCTTAGCTTTCACATGTAGCATGGTACATAGCGACGTAAACGTAGCCAATGATAAGAAATTGATGCTAATATCTTCATAACAATATGTAAGTCACCGTACTTTCTTATGTCAGTCTTTTGGTGCAAGGTCACCCAGGTCTTGTGGTGCTTTTATTCTCTTTTAGCTACGGAAACCGGCTACAATCCTAGATAGCAGTGGCTATTGCATCCTCGTATTGGAAAGCACAAAATAATCTTTATATAAAGTACACTGTGTGATGGTATAAAAGTAGTCCTATAGAATATTACATTCCGACACGTGTATAATATAAGTATTAGAAAAAATAATAGATAAAACAAATTATAGGAATCAGATGTTATCAGTTAAAATAGATACAGAGTTTGTATTGTTAGAAAATGAATTGATCTTATTTAAATGTTCATTTATTCTGACATTCGGTCTAATCATAAATACATCAAACCTTCATTTGAAGTAAACTCGAGAATATATAAGCCGACATATTTACAGAGTAAATGCTTAAAGCGATCTGCTGGTAACTATTTGGTTCATGGAAATCAAGTACGGCTCTGACTTTCCACTGTAGACTTTCTGTCTTGTATACTCCGATAGTGTAAATGTCAATCTTTCACTTTTTCATCAAAATACCAAGTTAATTATGTTACTTACTTTGTTACAACATTTTCATATAACATAACGGACATGCTATATTCATTTACACAATAAAAGTGACATTTTCGAAATTATTCAACGAACATTTAGACATATTTATTTTTTATTTTTTTAACGTTTACAAAAGTTACTAAAGAATTCAACGAAATTTTTCACAGTTTTTGTTTTTAACCGTTAAAAAAAATTACGAAAGAATTCAACGAAATTTTTCACAGTTTTTGTTTTTACCGGAAAAAAAAACAACGAAATAATTCAACGGAGGTTTTCACATTTTTAAGGTTTTAATTCAGAATTTATTCTGTCCAAGGTCTTACAATAATTTCATAAAGAGGTTTGGCACCATTTTAAAATAACAACAATTCTGATGATAGTAGTTTATATACTACTATAAACGAGTTGTTGAGACTAACAGGACTTTCAAGAAGAGCATCAGTATGCGAATTTAGGAATGGTTTAAGTGGCTAGAGTGTCCAGTGAAGCTGTCAGAGTCTCGTGTTCAATGTCTAGACAGCTTACCGAGTCAGCACTACGCCTATTGTAATGCATCTTTATTATAGATAATATCAACGTAAACAAACATCATAGAACTCTCAACTTTAAATATACACAATAACATCACCTCACGCGCACTTAAGTCCAACATTGTTTGTAAATTGGAGAACAAGTCTAGATAATATTTCTAGTTTGAAATCAGAAAACTTGACTGACTTTTATGAATCCGACCCAGAGGTGACAGTAAATTACATCTGAACTGATCATGTTTTTGTGTGGAAAGGTAACAATAGCAACATCAGGACTACAATTTATCGTAGTATATCTGTAGGCGAGTAATTAAAGACTACACAGGCCCCCTGCGAGGACAAATAGATCAGAATAATTCCAGAACAACGGGACGTCAGCCTTTTCAGAATTTAATACATCATTTGTAAAGCGGGTGCTACTTGGGCCACCCACCCTACTCTGTACCAGAAGCGTCAATACCTATTTATTGTGTCCCACACAGCGGCGGGGCGCACGACGGGGACCAAATTTGTTTTTTTTACATTAAGGGATGACCGTAAAAAATACTTTAGATGTTTAACGTGAAAGAAAAATGCAAGAAGTCGTATTATGTTTATTTTGCTCATTAACGGTTGATGCTCTTGCACTTGTGCAGGGTTAAATTTTCGAAAATCGCGTTAAATTAGAAAATATATTTTTCCCTTCTAGCACTATTTGCACAGAATTAGATTGCTATCCAAGTAGCTGCTATGTGTACAATATCATGAGTTTTATTATCATTAGATTGCTATCCAAGTAGCTGCTATGTGTACACTATCATGAGTTTTATTATCATTTAGTTTTTGTACAAAATACGGAGGATTAAAACATAATTATGTCTTGTCCTTTGAACAACCAGTGGTTAATAAATACCAGCATACTGTTTGTATCAATAGAAGACATACGTCAGTGGCATTATGTACCTGAAACCCTCGGGACTCAACATTAATGTTAATTGTGTCACGGTACCCTTGGTGACCCCCTGTTGCTCGCTCACTTTATTTGGTCTGAAATGAAATCGAGTGTCATTTAATTTCGGATTGAATTCATCAATTTTGTAATTATTCCGAGATGTAAGAGCGCGTAACAGACTTTTTAGAGCACCACTTCTCAACGCGCAGGTGTGGGGTCCCGATCAGCTGATTCGAGCTTTATTAGTACACTCAGTTTATACGTGAATGGCCGAAGGACATTCACACATGCTAATGTCAATGTGTATGACATTTCACGAATTGTCGTAATTACAAAAAAGTAATAATAAATAAATAAATAATAAATAATTTGAAATGTCAGCAATCGAATTAATTTAAGATGAATCGAAGTTTTAAAATCAGACCAAGACAGTGAACTTTTTGAACATATATACTTCAATATGCATGTAATTATTTCCGTTTGAGTTCGTTTAAATGATAAAACAAAAATTGAAAAAATGGAAATATATGTGCACATCCAATCCATCATACAAGTATCAGAAGGAATTTCTTCAAACAATAGTATGTGTTTGTGTGTCTAGTCAGACTTGTTTGTGTGTCTAGTCAGACTTGTTTGGTGATGACTGGTGGATAAGACAAGTGAAATTACCACTAACATTACGGTTTAATTTTATACATACAATTATTACAAGCTGTCCCTTTCCCTCCCTCCGACAGTCCATGGCCCCAAAGGGTCCTGTCATCACGAATCTGTCCAACTATTTTAATCAATAATCACAGTCACACGCCGTTCTCATCATAACTGTTGTGGATAGTACCAACCGAGGAGTCCCGAGAAACAATGGCTTTTCTTCTCTGCTATTATTGAACTATTTAAAAATTCACAAAATAAAGTGGAAAGTAAAAAATATCAGCGAGGTTATGAGAAGTATGGTGTCACTTCTATGCAATTATTTTGCCTGTTCTCTAAGGGAACTGAAGAACCAGTCACTTGTATCTGATAGAGTTTTAGTGAGGAGCAAGTTCTAGTTCTTTATCACCTTGAGTCTTTCGACCCATCGGTTTCAAAAGTGAGATATTTACAAGAATTACAGACAACGCAATGCAATACAATACAATACAATTTACAATACCAGTAATGTACAAACAGTATGGAGAGTGTAACCAATCACGTTAATTGGTTTCTGTGTTATTTACATTAAATGATTTTATCATTTTAAACATACTTTGTTAGCATGTTTAACTATTTTCATGAATGGGTATATCAAATCTTTTATTTGTGCTGTTATTTATGGCTTATACCAACTGTTCGTAATTATCAAATCAAATGCACGACGTCATATCACAGATATATCAATTGCATTATTATTTTATACGATGTGATACATGCTGATCTGACGAAGATCGACAAAGGGACAGTTTTTCATTATGAGTTGAATTTCTCACGATTATAATTCAGGTCATGTAAGTTTCGCACGAGAATTGTCCGTGTATTTTTGATGATTTACTACCTGTGGCGAGTGTATACAATAAAGGACGGACGTGGTCTGTACAGGTGTGTTACTTCTTCTGACATTATGTACACTTCTCCTCAGTCTATTTAGGCAAATCCCACTGGGTAACTAAACTCAATGATCATACCGTATAATTTTAACTTTATTTAACTCCATTATTTGTAGAAAAAAATAACCAAAGGATTTGATTTTCCTTAGAAACATCTTAAAGACTTTTTTTTCAATACACACATTTATTGCTATACAGTGTATACAGATCCGGATGAGCTAACTAGATGGTGCTATAGAAATGTTCGTCAGATAAATACCAGTCTTTGTACGGTATTTATATCTTGTTACGAAAAGACACCCCATGATTTTGTCATATCTAGAATGAAATATTGACACGAATGTCATTTAAGTACATATAGAAATTACAAAGAAACTTATTCACAAACATCTGCGAACACATTGAATTGTAATTGTTATAGTGAAAATATCGACAAGATTCTCCTGGCGAAGGCACTTATTGCTAAAGTGCCTGATAAAACCCCCTCAATGAAAGGTAAACATGGAATACATATAATTATTCAACTACAGACCCATAATTAGATTCGTAATTATATTAAAATCCCACACTAACGTGCTAGGCAACTCTGTATGGGCCACATCCCATAATGATACATTCCGGATAACGGTGGCCGGACACCAACAGGCTTTTACTCTATTCCCAAACCCAGAATGAAAAACACGTGTTTTGTTGGGGTTTTTGATTCACATTTGATCAATACATTACATGAATAGGCCTTAGATTTGTAATGAGGGACCCGTATAATTAGCAAGATCATAAAAACGCAATGGAGAGCAACTGGGCGTGTCGGGGCGTGGTTGAACCTTTAACGGTAGGGACGGAAAGGGCTTCGCTAATACATTTTTCAGGTGTTCTGCGAACAATTCTTTACAAATGTGGAGAGTTTATTTGAAGACTATATTGTCGATATTTTATCCAATGTTAGTTGACAGGATATAATAAAAATAAAGTTTTTTAACGTGTTGGGTTTAAATAAATGTATAACAATGCAGCAGGGATTGATGTGACGAATATTGAACGCCACTTAACGCTCGGCGTGTCGGCTGTCATTGTGTGGACTAGAACAAACTCATTAGTGGACATCGATTAACGTTAGAAATATAGCCGCTGTCTTTGTGTCTGTGTAAAAACTAATGTGGTTGATGCATTTAGTGAAAGTGTTTGAAAAAAGAGCAAAAATCAAAACGCATTTTTAAAAGAACAAACACGCAATGTAATAACACTTACGATAGTAAACGAAAAAGTACGAAATGAAGTGAAACTTAATTCGCGTTTATTGATCATTTCATCTCGTTCTTTCTTATTGTAAGCAAATATTGTAACCACCGATACTTTTTAACGCTGATATTAAAAAGAGGCAATAACAATTATCAACTTTGAGGAAAAACATTCCCTTTGACATGTACGTATGAAATTAGTTAAAAAGTGAAATTACATTACATAACATTCAACTATGTAGAAACGGACATAAAAAGACATGTCCTGTGTGACAGCATCATGAGGATTAAATCATATAACACATTTTTCAAACCGTTTATTTTGTTGTTGTTTCAACAGACAAAGCAGATACCACCTTGAAGGAGTCGAGTCTAAAATCAGACTGGAAAACCGGGAAAGGCAAACGTATCCGAACTATATTCACCCCAGACCAACTGGAGCGGATGGAGGCTGAGTTTGAGAAACAACAGTACATGGTTGGCACGGAAAGGTGAGAGCAACTCACTCTGGACATGCGCACTACAAAAAAATATTATAATTAATCCTTTAGCACACAAATTATGGTAATCAAGTGCTTTGGTTGGGAATAATGCAGCACCGGTCACTTCTTATTTCAATTCAGTGATATATTCACGGATTCAAACATTTACCAGGAATATTTTATTCTGATAGATATATGACTTGAATGAATTGATGAATAAAAGATGTAAATACACGCATAACTTATTTGAATAGATGTATAACGTATTCCAGTAGATTATATACATTGTATTATACAGTATATATTTAAATTCTATATTTGGGAATATGCATTATAACCTATTGAATTGGCGATATCGTATCTCGTATTCCAATTGCTGAAATCACCTATTCGAACAAATTAAGCATATTACAAAATGTCAATAAAACATAGTATACACGATACCCTACAGAGAATAACCCGTATGTCCGTTCTAGTGTTACACTCTTCTCCAATGTCACAGTTTACTGTTCTACGACTACAACACTGACTTCTTACCATTACAGGTATTATCTGGCATGCTCACTTAGTCTGACGGAGGCCCAAGTAAAAGTGTGGTTCCAGAACCGGCGCATTAAGTGGAGGAAGATGAACTTGGAGAAACAGCAAGCCAAGTTGGCGTCTTTTGACTTATTTCGGGACGTGGACATCGAGACAGACTCGATCGTCAGTGACGAGGACGACAACAGACCTCCTCGGTAGTCATTGGCCAATTCAACATTTGACCCGAGACCGTTTCTAATAGTGGTACATTAACACATGACCTCTAACCCCTACAGCGAATTTGTGATCACGATAAGGACGGAGCGTTACCTTGGATACTGATTCTGTAGTGAAACGCAATAGCAATACAACATACGCAGATGACCTCACAAAGAAGTGTTTTGTTTTAACAAATAATAGTCATTCAATCTGAACATTGTCAGATACATTTTGGTGGCTTTATGTTGTTAATGATTTGTCTTGCAATATTTTGAAATATGACGATGACATATGCATATATATACGCCACGGGCATTGAAAGTCAGTAGCTTGTTCTATTAAGTGACTTGAGAAACAACAGAAAAAGTTGTAAAAGCTTTACCGGATGTTGTGTCTGCGCACCTACCGCAAAATAAAGACCGACTTCCGGTGTATGTTTTCTGGACACATTCTCCTTGCTGTGTATAGTAGTGGACTATATGTGCAGGGGACTTCGTTGCGGCTTCTCTATTACCGTATGATAGAGAGCCGTAGGCCCCTAGACATTGTCTGACGTGATAACTCGCATAGTGCTGCAAATTGTGTGGAACGATGTATGAATATATATAATGAAGTTGTTTATCTTGTATAAATTATGTGAATCGAAATTATATTTATGAACATTTTGACTAAGTGTTGTTGTCTTTCCTATCTTTCCTTTTTTCAAACTGAACTTTACTAGTGATGAAGGGTACTGGCTACCAAGGTGGTTTACAATCATTCTTGATTTGCTTGTCTTGTAATCTTTTCTTCACGTATAACCAAAATTTTTTATCAATTAACTTACTTAAGTTAAATCAGGGCCCGGTTGCTCAATAGGTGTCTAAATCCATTAACCACGGGTTAAGTGGCATTGCTCGAAGATTGGCCATATTTAACCGCAGATAAAACATGTGAAGATTAGTAACACGGTTGAAGATGTTAAAATGTTAACCTTGATCCCAACACTACCAAGGATAACGCCAAACCACAGTACACCAAACTGTATACAACACTATTACAATGCTTACTGCGATCAAATTTATACATCCACAAGTAACTGTAGTTAAAAACCCAATGTAATAAACACACTTTTCTGTAGCTACTAGTGTCCAGTTAAAGCGCATACATGATGTGTCAAATATGGAAAGAAATCTTACAAAATACGTTTCTCTACTCCAAGAATACTGAGTTTACAAAAGCAAGCTACTGTGTACCGCTTATTCGTCAATTAGGAATACAACATACGAAAAAATATCTTCTCAAATAAGAAATAATTACATATATATGGGCTCGCAAAATAAATGTTTTCTATGACAGCGAGACCTAATGACAAAACCTGGATTGATACAGTGAAATAACAATAACTTAAAAGACCTATTTAAAATATTAGCAAATGGATACAGAGAGAAACAATGTAAATAGTGCAAGCAACATAAAAACAGCTATATATAAAATATATAACCACGCGGCAGTGAAGAGTACATGTAGGACTGTTTGCAGTGATCTTGTTTGACCATTGCGGAAGGACAAGATACAGTATTTCAACAGAAATTACAATTCATATCAATCCAATCTATTCCGGAAGACAAGTGGTGCAACATTGATACGACATGGCCTTGAGTACCACTGAGTGATTGACGGAATGGCCACGGGGTGCGTTGAAATAATTACTTTGCTTGACTTTCTACATCGACCTGCTCATTTATTTAAATAGCTGCTCCCTTATTTCTATACCAACTCCTTATAAATCAAAATATGATATAACCAGTTTTAGAACTGTCTCACCATTAATATGTCAATATTATTATTGAACAGGATATAATCGATAAACTCAATTTAGTAAATAACACTTAATCAGCAGACAGAGATAATATTTCACGATAATCTGAGAAAAGTCTATGAAAATCAATAATTAAATGCCTGTTATTAGTATAAAATAAACCAATAGAGTCAAGTTGTTTCTATTACAATCAATTAACCAATAAACTATTTGATAACAGTGTCACATGTTAATACATGCATAACATAGATAAATAGATACATTTAACAAATTCAGGTAAAACTTTAATCAGCATCCATTCATTTCTGACTAAAGAGACACTTACAAGCAATTTAACATTAGTCATAATTTTGCAAAAAAAGGTATTTTATTTACAATACAATGCAATAAATATTTACAAATGAAATACACACATCAAATCAAAAATACGCCATTATTCTAACTTGAAGCGATTCAGTTCAATCTGTTTAAAATACCCGTCCGTCACAACGAAATACAAACCGTGTTGCTGGCACGCCGAGAGGTCTGAACTGGACTAGTTTTGTAAACGCCACCGTGTGCACCAAGATGACACTATGGTTAGAAGAGTCTGTAGATTTTCCTCTGATGACGTCAACAGCACAATATCACCAGCGTAAAAAAGAGTACAGCTAATGTTACTAACCGAGACCAGAAGAGTTCAATTCCTCAATAATGGCGTGGATGTAAATGGTGAACAGTGGTAATGTAGTCCCTATAGATGTCAAGCCTGAGGATATCTATACTTAATTATAGATCAAGCTCCGACATCACAATAGTTATCTAAACATAGTATATCTCAATATTTATAATAATATAAAGTGTCTACATATAGTTCGATACTGTACTTAAAACAGTCAACCTTTTCTGATTTTCTACCGAAAGACTACAGTCAACCATATAATATAATCATTAGCACTAGTGCAAGTCAACGTGATGAAAAAAAGTTTTTTTTTTTTTTTTTTGAGACATGACCAAAGTCTTCGCTAGGATGTTAGCATAAACGCTTAATGCGTCAATTGACAGATAAAGAAGTAAAGATACAATGCTTGGGTGTTCCAAAACACACAAACGACTGGAAACAGAAGTTAGATATTGGGTTTATTCTATTTGGAAAACTCCAAAAGCAGGCGTACCACAGGACTCAGTTCAGAAACCCTATGTATCACATGGCTCAGTTCAGGAACTATATTTACCACAAGACTCAGTTCAGAAACCCTATTTAAGTTCCTTCCTGATGCCTCCTCGATATACATTATTTTGTCAACATACAGTTCACCGAGATTTTCGCCGAGTCAGGTATTCGCCCTTTACTAGTAAAATTATCATTCTCCCATAGTAAATTCTGCTTTGTAATTAATGTGCGATGTGGACTAATACTCGCTGTCATGAAAAATTCGGCCTCAACTTGAAGGGCGAAAGAGGAGAAAGTTAAACAGCAACGAAAACCTCTCGGTACACAGGTTTTCACTCACTATGATGGCTTATATGTGGTTTAATGTCCCTGCAACAGTTAGGAACATATGAAGGCGATGACTAGAGGTGATGGGCCCATTTAAAAACCATTTATTTTCAGGAGAGCGTTGCACCTGCATGGTTTATTGGGCAAAACACACATGCACCCGCATGTAGTATTGTCCTATATTACACCATTGTTATTGAATAAAAGCGTCGTTAAATCGTCGAAGTGGTAGAAGAGACAATCATCAACATCACTACGGTAGTTGGGATGTTTGGTGGTGCAATGGTTAGTGCATTCACCTTTCACCCAGGCGGCCGAGGTTCGATTCCCTGATTAGACGTGAAAAGTCACCTGTCCGACAACGTAGGGTACTCCCACAGTATGACTCCCTTAGGGCCAAAAGAGTGATTTTGATAATTTATTTTGCTTGCTTTATAATTGTTGTAAAAAAAGGTTGTGTCGATCAGGTACACGTAATCGACTTCAGCAAAAGATTAAAGCTCGACAAGTATTTGTTGAACAACATTTCAACCAAAACAAAACAGAACATTTACTTGTAGCCAAATACCAAATACATACATCCTACATTCAAATTGATAATGTTGAACGGACAAAATAACAGGACACACTTTATCAATTATATGCTGAAAAATTAACTTTGATTTATTTATAAAGACTGGTGCGGTATATAATAGATCTATAGGCACACGAAGTAATAGATATTGCATTAAACACCTATATTGGCCTTGCTTGCATCATGCACATGTAGTATGACTGCAGGAAGCTTCAAATAGCTTCTGGAGTATTGCGGAGTCTGCAGCTGAATTAGAAGAGCAACTGATCACATGCTACTATATAAAGAGATCAGACGAGAAAGAATGCACGATTTCCGTAATATGAATAAACAATGTATAACCTAAGGTATCGTAGAGTTCCCAATATAAGGCAGAGTTGCACTGTACTAGAAAAGTTACTTCCTAAAAATGTACCTGTAAATTCTTTGAATTTAATGTTAAAAATAAATAAAAATGGAGATAACTGTAGTAGACCGTACAGGATAGGGAGTTCAAAATATCTTCACCATACAGGATAGAGAGTTCAATATATCTTCATCATACAGGATAGAGAGTTCAACATATCTTCATCATACAGGATAGGGAGTTCAAAATATCTTCACCATACAGGATAGAGAGTTCAATATATCTTCACCGTACAGGATAGGGAGTTCAGTATATCTTCACCGTACAGGATAGGGAGTTCAATATATCTTCACCGGACAGGATAGGGAGTTCAAAATATCTTCATCATACAGGATAGGGAGGTCAATATATCTTCATCATACAGGATAGAGAGGTCAACATATCTTCATCATACAGGATAGGGAGTTCAATATATCTTCATCATACAGGATAGGGAGTTCAAAATATCTTCACCATACAGGTTAGGGAGTTCAAAATATCTTCACCGTACAGGATAGGGAGTTCAAAATATCTTCACCGTACAGGATAGGGAGTTCAATATATCTTTATCATACAGGATAGGGAGTTCAATATATCTTCACCGTACAGGATAGGGAGTTCAAAATATCTTCACCATACAGGTTAGGGAGTTCAAAATATCTTCACCGTACAGGATAGGGAGCTCAATATATCTTCACCGTACAGGATAGGGAGTTCAATATACCTTCACCATACAGGATAGGGAGTTCAATATATCTTCCCCATACAGGATAGGGAGTTCAATATATCTTCACCGTATAGGATAGAGAGTTCAACATATCTTCACCGTATAGGATAGGGAGTTCAATATATCTTCACCTACAGGATAGGGAGTTCAATATATCTTCACCATACAGGGTAGGGAGTTCAATATATCTTCATCATACAGGATAGGGAGTTCAATATATCTTCACCATACAGGATAGGGAGTTCAATATATCTTCACCGTATAGGATAGAGAGTTCAATATATCTTCACCGTATAGGATAGGGAGTTCAATATATCTTCACCTACAGGATAGGGAGTTCAATATATCTTCACCATACAGGATAGGGAGTTTAATATATCTTCACCATACAGGATAGGGAGTTCAATATATCTTCACCATACAGGAAAGGGAGTTCAAAATATCTTCACACATTTAAGATATGGTGCAACACGGAAACCTATATCACTCATCTAGTCCGTAACACCATCCATTTAAAGCCCAAAGTCAAACACAGATCTCTGAGTTCCAGTTTAGATTTTAGTATTGTCTTATCCCACACATAACTTCTATAGGATGGGCGAACGCTCAACACCTATGCCGAGTGCGAAGTATTGCCAAGGCGTTGAGAAACGAAAAGGTAGTAAGGGAGGAGAGAAATTAACATGGTG